CGTGCATGTGAACTTATAGCATGTTTCCATTGGAAACCGAACAACGTTGTTCGCTCTCAGAATTAGGTACACGAATTAACCCGTTCATACGGCACGATTCGTAATTCATAGTAAAATTATTCCCTTTTTTTATAAAATTTTGTTTGTTGATTTTAATGGGAATTTATAATAAAATACATTCAATTCTCACTAATATGAATAGAAAAAATAATTGTTTTTCTCCAAAAAAGATATATTATATCATTAATTTTATAATTTTCATTCACGTTTTCAACTTTTTGTGTAAATGTTGACATTTTTAACATATATTTGTATTTTTCTATTTTAAATACTGCTGGAGAGACACTTGTCAAACATTTTTTCTGCCGATACAAACATTTTGAAAATATTGCCTCTTTTGTTTCCAGTTTCCTGTGGAAATTTCAACTCATGGACAAAATGCGTACCTCGGATGAGAGAGAAAAGAAAATTTACTTTCGTTTGAATGTACATACGTAATTTAACATTGTAGTTTTCATTCATAATTTTCAGTCAGGAAATTAGCATTACCCAAAAGTCCAGTAAGTGAGGAGCGAAAAGAGAGAGACATCAGGTGTGTTCGTTTACTCGATAATTTGTAAAATGTGTAAAAATTTGTCTAAAAAATTGTACATATTTTTAGTGGAAGCTGTTCGTTTACCCAAAACCAGAAAGTGAGACCGAAATGAGAGACATTTTGCCATTTGAGTTACATAGAGTTTGCAAATTCTTACTAGAAAAAGTTCCCCAGTAAGAATTATCTAGTAACATCAGCTGTCATTAATCAGTTGTTTTGGATCGTCCCCTGCTTATAATTAATTTTTTTTATTGAGCTTATGCCATGTTTACGTTAGGACTTTTTGTAGGGTTAACCTACTTTGAGAGGATTTATTTGAAGTAAAAGTAATGGATATGACAATTTAAATCCAAATCCAGTGGGTTAACCCTCATATATATAAACGTACTGTTAGTTAGAATTTTTGTATTTGTATGACTAGCGGATTCAGAGTCTGTGATGGTGCTACGCAGTGAAAAATATTCAGTACAGCAAGAAAGCCGCGCTTAGAACCGCAACAGGGAGCCTCCTCATGACACCTGTCGGCAATCTAGTTTTGACATTATTAAGTTCCGGATTGTGCAGCCGGCACAATTCGTACTGGATTGACACCAATAGGTGTGTCTGGTTACCCTAAAATTTGTAACAATTGTTGCAATCTGTTGCTGGAAGTCTGTTAACATAAAATATCTGCAAAAGAGAGCGATGTGAGAGAACAATTTTGACAGTTAATTCATTGAGAGCTTGCAAATTCTTGCTGGACACATTTCTTCTGGTAATCATTTGCAACTTTTCTTCTTCTCCTTCCGGTGATTTATATTTAAACTATATTTTTTTTTGGAAATTTCAAGGAAATTTCATTGTGTTGTTTGTTGGCTTGTTTAACACATTAAAAAAATGAGGACAAATATGAAACAAATGAAAACAACCTGTTGTTGTAAGGGCATAGCCTCAGCGCATAAAGCGCATGTATGGCTGGCTTAAGTAATCGGCTGGTTACTTCGTAGAGGAACAAAGGAGTTTCAGGTTGACTTAGTTTGATTTTGGCCCTAGGCTCCTTTGTTCATATTCGAAGAAGCCAGACGATGACTTAAGCCAAATTCTCACCTTCAGGGCTGTATTTTTTTAATTTTACGAAGCAGTTCTACCTTCGTATTGTATTATGGTTTTTTGTACTTTTTTACATTGTATAAAGGTCAAATAAATAAGTAAAAATAAATAATTTTAACTTTTAATTATGTTGTAAATTTTTTGTAGTGAGTTAATATACAGGGAAACGTTTACGAACATTTGCAATGAGTATTGTATTGTACTGTTTCGTTTCCATTGTTGCAGTTCTGTGTTTGCTTCTACTCATCTACACAAACAGTACAAAATAAGAAACAAGTCCCGTTATCTTAATATCGGTTTTTTTCGTTTTGTACTTCGAGAAAATACAGAACGAAACGATTGCAAACGTTTTCAAATGTTTATTTTCGTTCGCTGGCCCTACCTACGCAACTATCTTCAGCAGAGTTGTGCCATTCTTGCTCATACACCAGTTCCTAAAAGTATGAGTGATTTCATAAATTTAATATCACTCATACGCAAAGTTTTAAACAAAAACCAACAGAGTCCCCGGAACTAGTTATAGAACTAGTTTGTTCCATCGAACTAAATTGGCACAACTCTAATCTCCGGTATCATTGAGGACCCAACCTATACAGGTTGTGTCTTTCTTGAGGCTGGTTCTGGAAGCAGAACTAGATTGAGATGAATCAGAACGAACATAGCAGTAGGGCAACACCCTTCGGTACTCGGTCTTAAGACCCTCTACCATGTTTTTTTTTTAGTTTTTCAAAAACATACTGCATTAGTATTTTTCTGTTTTCCCGCGGTTCACGGGGAGACACTAAAAACTGAGTAATATGACCGTCCTATTCACCACCTGAGGACGCGCTTGCTGGGAGATTGATAAGCTTCCTCGAAACTTGAAAGTTGCAATGTACAGGGTGAGATGAAAAAACTACAACCAATTTCAGACAGTTGTCATTTCTAAGCCACTCGTCCGACAGCTGTTACAGCTCATTATATTGTTTACAAGCGTATACGAGCGTTTTAGTGAGAATTTTCCAGAAAAAAAGTTATTCGTGATGGAAGTCAAGCGTGATAGTGTGATTTCTTTATATTTGGCTGGAAAACCACAAGTGGATATCGTTAGATCACTCCAGTACTTAAATGTGAATAAATCATTTGTGTCTCGTACCTTCGCTCGTTACCGTGATTCTGGTAGCGTAGTCCTACGTCAAGGAAGTAAACGAAAGAAAACAGCAACATCAGCAGAAATGTTTCGAAAAGTAAAGAAGCGACTTGGTCTAAACCCGCGTCGTAGTGGCCGAAATATGGCTCGTGAGCTGAACATATCGCAATATTCCATTCGGCAAGTATTGAAAAATGATCCCATTGAAATTCCAAAAAGTGCAAGAATATACACCGCAACAGAAATAAAATATACTCAAAAGAGCTAAAGAGTTGCTTCGCTTGGCCGAAAGTGGTGAACTGCCGAATTTGGTTATTTTTCCGATGAGAAAACATTCGTTGTTGTAAACAAATAAAATGAGTGTTTACTTAGCAAAGAGGTCAACTGAAAATGTGCACCCTCGGTTGGCCACCAGAACTCAAGCGCCGGCCATGGTGATGGTGCGGGCCGCCATAACAGCCAATGGTCGGTCGATGCCGAATATTATCGCGAAAATATTCTAGGTGTAGCCTTGTGCACGCAAACATTTTAGCCGATGAGCTTGGACATTCCAACAGGACTCAGCACCATCGCACTCAGCACGCGCCACCCAAGAATGGTTAAAAAATGAGGCTCCTACCTTCATTTCCAGCGCACAATGGCCACTAAAATCTTCGGATACCAATCCGTTGGACTATTGTGGAAATTGAAAAGCAAGCAAGGTTATCACAAAAAATACGAAAGTGTCGATAACCTCAAGCAAGCGCATTGCCGGGAATGGGCCAGATTACCGCAGAGCAACATTCGGGCAGCGTGTGACGGTTTCATTGGTCGTTGAAGGCCATAATTCGTACCAAAGGTGACCAATTCGAACAAATCTAAACTTATTCTAACATTTTTGCTTGCATTCAATGAAATTAAAGAAATGTAAAAATTATGGCGTTTGACTTTGTTGCAGTTTTTTATCTCACCCTGTATGTATGTTGCTTATGCAGTTTGTAGTGTCTTTAGCTAATTTTTGCATAGAATGTTGCCTCCATTTCAGTTTTCGCCGTCATATTTGTCTTCGACGTGGTTTGTTTGAAGCATCTAATAAATTTTTCGCTTCTCTCGTTCTCCGTTTTGTTGACCTCCTTCTTATTTATCATTTCCATTACCTCGACTTCACATGAGTGGCTGGAAGATCGAAAATGTTTTGTATTAGGGGGAAATTTAGTAGACGGAACTGGCTCTTTCAAATCCCTTTTTGCGTTTTTATTGCCTCATAAGGACTAAAGGTGAGAATACATAAAAAGTTTTCTTTTTGGCTTAGGTCATAGGCTGACTTCTTCGTAGAGGAACAAGGGAGTTTTAGGTTGATTTAGTTCGATTTTGGCCCTAGGCTCCTTTAATCTTTTACGAATAAGCCAGCCGATTATTTAAGCTAGTCAAAAAAGCTCTTCTGTACTTCCACCTTAACATCGTGCACACCTAGCACAATGATCCAATAATTTCTGAAAATTATTTGACAGCAATGTCCAGTAAGTGAGAGCGAATGAAAAAAGCGATTTAGATATTTGAGCTTCTAAAGGTGAAAGTACATAAAAGGCTTAAGTCATCGGCTGTCTTCTTCGTCGAGTAACATAGGAGTTTTAGGCTGGGAATACATAAAGCGCTTATTTGACAGGCTTAAGTCATCGGCTGGCTTCTTCGGAAATGAACAAAGAAGCTTAGGACCAAAATCAAACTAAGTCAACCTAAAAATCCTTTATTCCTCTACGAAGAACCCAGCCAAATAAGCGCTTTATGTATTTATGTACCTTTAGGTTGACTTAATTCGATTTTGGCTCTACGCTCCTATGTTTTTTTCCGAAGACTTAAGCCAACCAGAAAAGCGTTTTATGTGTTGTCACCTTAAATGAGAGCCATTGAGGAGAACAAGTTTTGTCTAGCCATAATAAGTCGACCGATTTCGAAATCGAGAAACGAAATCGTAATAATTTAGACCAGTAATTAAATGTTATATTTCTTTTTTATTTATTCAAGAATTTGCCGCAAATATTTCTTGACAATAAGGTACCAAAGGAAAATTTAAATGAAAATGTTGCTTCTGATGAAAAGCCCAAATTATTTTAAATTTGACTTTGCCGTAAAAGAGCGGCTTTATAATTACTATTATTTATGTAATCGCTTCAAATTAAAACATATAATTATATTTAATACTTTCAGATATGTGGCATTCTATTGATAGTATTTGGAGCTATGCTCTTCTCCAATATCCACACAGTGGAGGATTTTGCGGAAGCAGTTAAAACGCAACAGGTGCCCCTAACAATGATTGTATTGGGTATTGTCATATTGCTGATATCGTTCTTCGGCTGTTGTGGTGCGATTCGGGAAAGCTATTGCATGTCAATGACAGTAAGTGACGAGTGTCATTATCCTCATAATGTTATTTGTTGGATTGGCAAAGTGCTGTTTTAACCGATAACAATCATTGCAATAAATATATGTATATCTGTAAATGCAGACATGACCTTAAGTTTTATGTTTTATTCCCCTGTAGTATTCCATTCTATTGTTTGTACTGATGATTGGTCAATTGGTTTTGGTAACATACATGTGGCTGCAAAAGGATAAATACCTGGTCATTATGGGTGATGTTGTCGAAAAAGCCTGGCAAAATAGAACACGCAAATCCGACTACATGGATGCTCTCCAAATCAGCGTATGTATTCTTGAATGAAATATTGATTGATTTATTCGTTTTAATTTCTTTTCTAATGTTTGCAAACAGATGGAGTGCTGTGGCAGAAGTGGTCGCGCTGACTACCATTTCCAAGGATATTACCCACCGTCTTGCTGCAAGGATGTGCGCCAGTGTAACGATTCGACCGCTTTCAATGTTGGCTGCAAACAGGCTTTTGTTGAATTCTGGGATAAAAATGCCGATATTATAAAATACGCTGGATTGGCTATTGCCGCCATTGAGGTAAATAAATATTTACGAATACATGAAATGGGAGTGTAAGATAACGTAATAACCATGGTAAAAGAATATAGGTAGACGCGTCGACACAGCTGCTGGGACAATGAACCAATTTTGTAATTGAAAATGTTGAATGAAAAATTATTTAAATTTGTACAAATTCTTAAAAAATGTATATCATAACAACTTCCGATTGGTGTCGTATAGAAAACTTATAAAATCAATTTATTTTTGAAAAAAAAAAATTTTTAAATTTTTTGACATATCAATGTTCTCAAGCGTGGATGCATGGAATACAGGTAGATTCTTCTACCACGATAATAACTTCTACAATTTATTACGCAAGCCCAGTAAATAATGGCGAGTGAAGAGAGCGATTTGGAAAGTTGAGTTACTGATAGATAACAAACTCTCAATGGGGAATTTTCTTAGAGTATCAACTGCTAATTGATAAACAGTTTTCTTTTGTGACCGGTGTGAAAATGTTATTTAAATGTGCATTTTTTGACTGGCTTAAGTCATCGTCTGGCTACAAGACATAGAAGTATAAAGATTGGACAAGACAGAGTCAAGATATGGCAACCCTGTGAAAATACCTCTGTTGTTATGATATCATAACAACATAGTTAGCAATGTTATGTGATTTAAACCGCTTAGGCTATATGCAATTAATTTGGCAAGTCTATGGAATAAAATTTTGAAACCCAATTTTTGGATTTTTCAAACTTTTGTTTGTCATTTTTTCTATAAATGTTTTTTTTTTATATTAACATGGTCCTATCATAAGCTGTTACCTAGATAGTATAGACACAAACCACTTGCTCAGAATGCATTTTGTCTAGTCTTTACCATTTTAGGTCTTTGGTAACATCTCATGGCAGAGACGTGTTAATATTAAAACCACAATTACAGAAACGAATAACCAATAAAAGTTTGAAAAATCCTAAATTTTGGTTTCAAAATTATATTTCATAGTCCTTTCCAAACATTTGCATATTGCCTTAGCGGTTTAAATCAGTTAACATTGGTAACTATGTTGTTATGATATCATAACAACAGAGGTATTTTCACGGGGTTGTCATATTTTTACTCTGCCTTGTCCTATTTTTATACTTCTATGCCTTTGTTTGAGAGTGACAAATTCTAAGACGATTTAACGATGTCCGTTTGTCTGTCTGTTGAACCAGCAGTGCTCAAGAAAAAATATCTCTTTGCAGTCGAATTTCTCTTTGCTTATTTAAATCAAGAACAAAACAGTGTTAAGTCATTATTTATACAAATATTTTTATCCATCTGCTTTATAAATTATTTTGGAAAAATTCATGTTTAATAACAATTAAATGGAATCGTAAAATATAAAGAAAAACAGAATTTTAATTTTCTCTTAAATTATCTCTTTTTTCTGTTCATGTTCTAGAACACGGTTTTGAGCACCGCTGGTTGAACTCACGATACAGCCCACATTATTTGACGTAGAGCGTCAAAATTTAATAGAATAATTTGTATTGTGTCTAGAATGGTTGGTATTGAAAATGAGATATATCGGTCCACGTTTTGCTATAGTCCCCATATAACGGTACATTGCGATATTGAGTATTTTGATGATTTTTGCCACACTTTTTCACGGATATGTCTGAAAATTGGTATTTGTAGGTCATAATGGGTCCTAGTTCGTGCTGCAAAACATTGTATGTATAGGTCCACGCTTTGGTATAGCCCCCATATAACGGTACCTCCCGATATTCGGTATTTTGATGATTTTTGCCACATTTTTTCATGGATTTGTCTAAAAATTGGTATTTGTTGGCCACAATAGGTTCTAGCTCCGATGGCGAAAATTTGCATGTATAGGTCCACGCTTTGGCATAGCCCCCATATAACGGTACCTCCCGATATTCGGCATTTTGATGATTTTTACCACATTTTTTCAAGGATTTGTCTTAAAAATGGTATTTGTAGGTCAGTTCGTGCGCCGAAACATTGTATGTATAGGTCCACGTTTTGGTATGGCCTCTATATAACGGTATTTTTCGATATTCGGTATTTTGATGGTTTTTGTCCTATTTTATCACGGATTCGTCTAAAAATTGTAATTTGTTGGTCATAATGAGTTCTAGCTCCGTTTGCGAAATATTGTATGTATATGTCTACGCTTTTGTATAGCCCTATATAGCGGTACCTTCCGATATTCGGTATTTGATAGACGAATATGTCTAAAAATTGGTATTTGTGGGTCATAATTGGTTCTAGTGTTTCCATGACCCTAAAGGCGAGGCTATTAGAAGTTCGGCACGGCCGAACTTAATGATTTTTTACTTGTTTTAAATAATCTTGAAAATACGTCCAACTTGTTGTGGAAACGTATGGGATTCGGCAAATCCCTATTGAGCTTTTTTATAATTATTTTCTTTAATCTAAATTCTAAATTTGTTTCTTTTTAATAATACATAAATTATAACCAATCCTAAATGATTTATTTTAATTTTTTTCAGTTTGCCGGTTTCATTTTCGCCTGTTGTTTGGCCAACAACATTCGCAACTACAAGCGTCGTTCTGGCTATTAGGGAGTAGTTGAAAAAATCTGACCAAAAACAGCAACGAAAGCCAGCTTCAATTCATGTATACATACAGCTCATTGTATCCGCCCACCACCCTCTACCCAAATATTGTAGTAGAGTAAATTATATACACATCTATACATACATATTACAAGAACTTAAAACTATTTTAAGTCAAATATTTGAACAAAAATGAATTATTGTTCTTAAAAAATATCTTAAGTTTAACATATAATACTTGTGTTTATATTTTACATTTGAATCTCTTGAATTGTAACAAATCGATTTTTTATAAAGAATATGATAACTTTTATCGTTGATTGTACTCATTATGAAATGTACAAATTAATATTAATAAAAAGTATATATTGTACAATTTTCCATAGATGTACTCATTTGCACTCGGTCTTTTGATATATGCTTTATCGGTAGGTATTAATAAATATTCCAAGAAATTATAAAGATGTTGTGAATCCCCCTCCATCTATTATCGTCATTCAAAACAAACAGCCAGGCAATTTGAAAATTAGTTTAGTTTTAGTGATTAGATTAGTGCTCATACAAATGTTGGTCAAGTTTATAAACAAGATTTGATTTACAGAGAATACAAGAGTGTCACTTGAAGTACTATCATTGACAGCTATCAATGTTGGTAAATATTTCGAAGATAAAAGAAAAACATTGTGAAATCTTCCGTATTTGATGAGTCAATGAAAGAAAAGTTCGGTTAGGTCGATAACAGATACCCTATAACAGATAATAAAGTTAGATCTTGTGGGTCACATATGCTATTAAAGTACGTTTACATCCAAACCTTTCTTCTTTATTTGACTATGGAAAACATACCATAAATTTATTGTGATAGGTCAATTTTACAATGAGCTCATTGTGCTTTTACCCGTGCAGTGTCACTTTCTAAATATGCCCGAATTAAAATGCACGGGCCTAAAATTTTTTATGCGCTATAATGTTAGTCTTGACTCACACATGAACTGATAAAAATTCAAAGTCCTTGATATCTTGGTTCATCAGTTAAGGGATATTGCCTATGGGCGCGGATAACCAGTGGAGAATAGCCTGCATCTACCTTTTGTTCCCCATTCTATACAGTGACCAATATTGTCAAATCGTTTGGATTTGAGAGGTTCGGCAACATATGATTTTTTGTGGGAACTTGATTCTGAAGCCGTCGAAAAACTGGCGATGATGGAGCCGATCGTATAGAACCTGGTGGTGAAGGAGTTGAAAGAAGCGATGTTGTTAGACCCCTTTTTCTTGGTAAAACAACTGTTTGAGTTGCGTTCAAAAGCTCGTTAGCAATGTCCAACTGGAATTTTTTTAGTGATATATGCTCTACTTCTCCATCTGTATATTTGAGGTCTCTGCGATACAACATCCAACTATTTACTATACAAGCGTTAAAACTATGCTATGCGCATATACCATTTGTTTGAGCGGTGGTCGATTTTGTATAATTCCAGCAACATGTCAGCAAGATCAACGCCACCCATAAGTTTGTTATAGTATTCCACTATACCTGGACGAGATATTATCATGAACTTCTTCTCCTCTCGGCACCATCTCTTGCACTAACTCATGGGGGTTTTACCTATATTGTCATACCAACGGCAAGCAATCAAATTGTGCGTTGTCTCATATTTACAGTCGAATCAACCCCGTCCTCGTTTTTGAAGCTCCTTCTCGGATTGTCCCAATGGATAATATTCCTCGTTGATGTAGCGGAATCATCAAGCTTATTGACGTAAACCAATTATCACAAAATAATTTGAAGTTTTGGTTCATCGGAATATTGGATGCTAAAGCTAAAGCAATATCTGATGAGCAATATCTGACTAGGTCAAATGACCACTTTTTCTGTGCGAAAGTCGAATTTCGTAAGGGCGATTTTACACTGATCATTGATGCCACCATGTAGGGAATAGTCCAAAATAACATAAACTTCACTTTGTTTTTGTAAAATGACAAACGCCGCTTGACAGCAATCAATCAAAGTTACACATGTAACACGTCATTGAAAGACTGTTTGCGCAGCCTATTATTTTCTAAAGTTTCAAATGCTTGTTTTTCATCCCGTTGAAATAAATGACGGAAATTTTGAAATGGAAGACAAAATTATTAGTGAGTACTTATGTCTCAGGTATAAAAAAGTGTAGATATCGTTTATTTACAAAAATAAATGCTGACTTATTTATATAACCTCAAATTTGTTTGAGTGATTTTAAATTACGAGTTCATGTAAGCTTTACAAGTTCCGGCGAATTTCGGCAGACAAAAAGTAAATAGAAATGATTCAATTAAGATGTAGTTAATTGATTCTACTTTACTATAAACCGCACCTTTTAGCGCTTTTCAAGAAAAATCGTTTTTTCTAGGTTACCATGCTATAACAAAATGAGAGTTGTTTGAAGTTTGACTGCATGAATGTTCGCAAAAGGACAAGCTTAGCAAGCTGTTGTCAACTTTGTCGTGAACAAAGTTGGTGCTGACGATATTTTCGAAGATTCAATGAAATTCTGGAAAGAAAAAACGCGTTTGTTCTGCAAATCTTTAACATCAAAATACGAAAAATATGGAAAAATATTGGGAAGAATGCTGACAAATTTAGATTGAAAAACTGTGTTTGGCTTACGGATAAAATTAATTTCGAAATTAAAAAGCAAACTCCAAAAGTCAATTCTTCGGCTGTTGGTCACTCAAAAGTTCAATTTTGAAACAAAAGTGAATATGGAAAAATAAAAGAAGCATTCGAGCTTTCGAACTCAATAAACAATGAAACAAACTTACTAGTACGTGCAGCAGCAATATCGTTCTAAAAGAAAGTTTAGCATGCCCAACTAGGCCCTCAAAAATAAGAAAGATATGTGCTGAAACCAATACCAAGCCAATTTTATTTTCTGCAGATGAGACATTAGCTTTTTTTTTGGAAAATAATTTTACAAAGGACCAATATAATGCATTACGCCGCGAAAGTAGTTTAAGAAACTTACTTACTCAATAATCACCATATGTGACTAATTTTAAGGAGGAGGGGGAGATGACTGCTGGTATTTTAAAATGCAGTTGTGGTAGAAAAAATCGGTTTATAACTAATGTCAAAAATCAAACTGATTGCACAATGTATTCTAAAACCACTCGAGCACCTACATTTATCACTAGGACTATTTAAAAAATTGGCGGAAAAGTCTGGTTTATGTATGCTAAATCATGTATTTTTTGTTTAATTTAATGATTTTACACTTTCTTTAACGCTTGCCTTCGTTTTAGTTTGAAATAGTACAATATTTTAGTTGTAATTAATTTCGCACAGAAAAAGTGGTCATTTGACCTAGTGTGCAATGTAGAGAGTAAAGTCGTACATTATGCCCGATACACCAGCTCTAGTGAACATTTTGAATCCCCACTTGTGTGGCAGATATTGTTTCAAATTGTGTTGGTCTAATAAAATATATATTTCTGAATTAGAAAGAAAGATGTAAATATAGCCACATTAATTTAAATACCCTTATATGCTGCAATCTTTTGCTCATCCACGCATTGGAATTCTTCTTGGGGAATTTCATTGAATTTACTTTTTATAAAATTCAGCAATAGGCGAACTTTGTAAAATTTTTCATAGCCAGGTTGACCGTTTAAATGTTAAATCTATGTCTTGGCAATGCATTTCCAACTGCCAATGCCATTCGATATGTTAGAATACTGGTATAGCAATATACCAACATATCTTTTTATTTCATACACATTACATTTTAGTTCAGTTCCATTAGTTTGTGCCACGTACAAATTTGTCTCGGTACAAATCTTCTGTCAAACGTCATCTATAAAGAACTGGAAGAAATATTCGATTGGCTGTTTCACTTCATTGCTGAGCACTTCGCTTTTCCAAGTGGTATTACAATCCGTAAACTCTTGACTCCTCCACCTCAAACTTTGCAAATCAATTTTCTCCATCATCTCTTGTAAAACCTCTCTATTTTCAGATCCTGCTCCGTCATTTTCACGGTAATAGTTAGTTAGATTAACTTCCATATTGTCGTCACTATCAATCACATTTTTAACGTTTTTTTATTGATGATGTTTTTGAAATTTACAGTTTTTTCCTCTTCTCCTTAATTTTCCTCATCCTCATATGATATGTTTTTATACAGAAAGAAATGTGCACTGTTCAGAAATTACCACACATGACCAATGTTGCCTATAGGCAAAAGCTTTTTTACAAAAATTTAAACAAACTAAAGACTTATCTTATATATTTTTTTTTATATTCTGCACTTGGTTTTATATTTAAAGAGTTTTTTTTTAATCTTTTAATAAACACATTTTTACAAAATGAAATCGTGTCTAGCTGGCAGTACAAAAAATAGATTTAAGCTTGCACAACTCTAATAACTACAAAATGCGAAAAACCTCATGTCAAATAATTCAAAATAACGGGACTTAGAACCACAATGTTGTCTATAGGCAATTGTGGGTATGAAAAGGTTAAGCAGCTACCCATAGGAGTACGTTGGCATCCAAATCTTTATTATGCCCGTGAAGATAAATTTTAAAATGTAATAGAAAAGACGCAAACCACTTGCATTTTATGTTAGTACACAAGGGGTTAATTGAAAAACAGTTTTTTTTTAATATTAATGATGTTCACTATTTTTGGATAAATCAAAGTATTTTCAACAAATATTAAGTTAAACCAATTCTCCTAAATTAATTTAACAGGAAAATTACACAATTTCCCGACGAGGCTGTAGGCAAACTGCATGGAAAATGCTAAATTGACAGGTCTCTCTGGGTTTTTTCTGAGTATATATGACCCATACTCCCAAATAATTTAAGATAATCGATTTTTTCCGATTTTCTAACCAAAGTGGAATGACTGCATGGAAAATGCTGAATTGTACAACAACTATGATAGCTGCGGTATTGTCCAATTTGTTGGAAGAAGAGAAAATAAGTTCAAAAATCTCAATATTTCAAATCGTTTAAATCTGATGGTTAGGGTTTTAAACAAACACGCTGAGCATACATATCCTACACATGACATTGGTTATCAGAATATAACTATTGAAGGAACTGTATTTGAAATGAAATCATTATTTGTGCAAGATATTAATCCTGAGAATATAACCATGGGAGAAACTCTTAATGAGACAAAATCGGAACAGGTCGACTATTATATTTTGTAAAATGAAATTATCTATCAAGTTGATACTTATGTATTATGTTGCACTATATCATTTTTCAATGATATTTCAATGTCATCTGCGAAAATATCAGAAGTTCATCATGTAATGCAATCAACTGAAATATCGGAAAATGAAGATTCAGAATGCAATTATACACCGGCCAAATCGACTGAAAATCCAAATT